CAAGTGTAGTGGTTCCGTGAGCTATCTTAATACGCGCTTCTTTCTCGGACTTTACGTCGGTGAACTGCTCGGTGAACCCTCCGGGGTTGTCGCCAGAAGCCAGCTCAAACTGAAGTTTCTGGCAGCCTTGACCGGCTTCTTCGGCCATGCCGTCTAGTGTTGCTTGGCTATCGCCAACAAGCTGCTCGACAAATTTGTTCATTTTAGAGAAAATATAAAATAAATTGACCTTGCAAGGATTATAAAAAAAAAGTTGATTGAGAATAAAAAAGAAAAAGTGTGTTGTAGGATTAGAAGCAAGAAGAAAAAAAAAACAAAGAGTTGAAAAAAATTCAAAAACTGTACGCAAGCATCAAAAAGTATTCAAGCTGGTTGCGTCAGCAAAACGAGGTGCAAGAACAACAAGACCCAGGGGACAATCACACGTGACTTATAAATTATCAAAATCCGCTGGTATGCCAAAATGCTTATTAAAGTCATTCGGGTCCATGTTGAACTTATCACGAACCCAGCCCTGGATAATAAAGATATTATCCGTCCACCTGTTAGCCGCATCCTTCGCCACCACCGCCTGTTTCTTTCTTTGAGCCATCAACTCTGGATCGCATTCCCTAAACTGTCTCAACTCTTCTTGCTGACCATTCCACAGTTGCTCCACTTCTGCCAGTTCCTCCACCAACGATTTTCTCTCCTCAGTCTGTTCTCTGCCAAGCATAGCCTGTTCAATATTTTGTTCAAGTTCTGTTTGCTTGGTTTCCAATGCAAGGACTTCTTTTTGGAGATCTTGTAAGCGGGTTTTGCGTTTGAGGGCTGATTCGCTGGGGAACGACCAAAAGTAATTGGAAGTGCCGATTTTTTCGCATCGTACCATGTTGTCGTCTACCAAGGATTGTACTACGTCTTTGACTGTCTGCGATACTATGCCTTTTTGCTTTGGTCCGATTTTTTCCAACTCTTTCAGGAGATACGGTTCCATGGTATCGTGGAAGATTTCCATCATCCGTTTGCGCTTCTCGTCGATGGTCAGACGCGGTCCCATGGTTAAGAAAGTATTAGAGAAAAGAGACGTAAAATAAAAAGGAAAATAAAATGTTTTATTTTGGGTAGTAGAAAAAGAAAGAAAGAAAAAAATGTATGCGCTAAAGAACAGCCTTGTGTTTTTTTTTCGCGTGTTTGTTTTTCTATCGTGGTTTGTGATGGCTGCGGAATAGAAATCATGGAATCTTATAATCCACAAACAAGAATCAAATCCTACGCTTTACGTTTCTTCTGCGATTTTCTAACATCCGCTCCAAAAGTCTCTGAATTAACCCCCACCGGTTTCTTCCCCCTTCTACCTTCAACCCGACGACGTTTTTTCTCTTCCTCATCTCCACGCACATCGACACCATCGACTGGTTTCTCCTGCCTGACGACAAACATATAGATCTTCGGATCCTTGTTACGAATCTCATGGTTCTCGCTAGTGGATACGCCGTCTTTAAACCCCAGAGTACGACGATGCTCGTATCCGGGAAAGGCATCGAGATCAAACGGAACAGTGCTATATGCTGAAAGTCCGCTGTCTTTGGCCAGTTGTCTAATGTTCCAGAGCGAATACGGCGGGCCAGACTTTAGCGTTACGTGGATCTGCCCAGGAGCCGCTACAGGTTCTGATTGTTCTGGCTCGTCACGCTCAACAACATCGTCGTTGTAGGTCACCGTGGCCTGCGCACCCTCGAATTCAAAAACCTCACCATTTCCCTGCTTCTTTCTCTTCCTAGATCTCGTCGACGTCTTTCTACTATCATCGTCATCATCGTCATCAGCATCAGTGGGCTTTTGACCAGCAACAGTTTTCCCGCTTACCGACCGCTTGGCCAACAACGGCATAGCGCTAGCGAAAAACCCCATCAAAAGCTTCTGATTAGAAATAACATTCCTCTCCTGGTCCTTGATCCCCGCCCCCGCATGTGGAAAATTAAACACAATATGCGAAAACACCTTATTTTTCAACCCCATCGTCCTACCCAACGCCGTAGCATCGACATCAAACATCACCTCCCCACCCATTGCTTCAAACGCCGCGATATGTTCCCGAGCATCAGAATACTTGGTATCAACTATATCCGGCGAATCATACGCAGTAGCTACAATGTTGCGAGCAGTTCCGAGTTGCGTAGCTAGGCTGTGGGCAAAGCTAAAGTTACCTTCACCGATAAGCAATATGGTATTTGAAGTGGTGTAGGGAAACCGTGGTTTACGAATAGGTTTGGTTGGTTTTTTCATACCCTCTTGTTGGTCTCGATGTTGCTGTGATTTACGGGCGGCGTCTAGCTTGACTTTCTGCGTTTGCAGTTGCTTGAAGCTGGCTGCTAATTTAAACTTTTTTGGCTTGGGCATAACGCACTGTAGTAGTTGTTGAAAACAAATAAAAAAAATCAACTGATGATTAATGATCTTTTTTGGAGACACAAGAACGAAAAAAAAAAAATAGTCAGAAAAAAAGGGAGGGCAAAGATAATATTTTTTTTTCTCAAAATTGATCTTTTTTTTTCATTACTACAAGATAAAAATTTTCTTACTCCAATTTATTTCTTTTTTTCTGTTTTATATTACCAGCTTCATTTATCTATACACATATTTTAGATTCTAAGGAAAAATGTTTGGCGGTATGTTTGGCGGCGGAGCGCAGAAACCAGCACCATCAGCCGGACCCATGAGTTCAATGGCCGGAGCCATGAACCAAAACCAAATGGATCCCAATGCACAGTTAGCAGCAGCCGAACAAGAAATGGAAATGGTCACCGATATGTTCGCTCGTCTCGGAGAACTCTGCAACAAAAAATGTCTAATCCAACGTTACAGCGACGAAGAACTTACCAAAGCCGAATCAGTCTGTATCGATCGTTGTGTCACTAAATATTTCCATGTTAACCGTGAAGTCAGTGACAAGTTGGCCAAAATGTCCCAAGCAAACCAATAAATAATAATTTTTATTATATAAAGTTGTAGTTGTTGATAAGAAAATATTGAAAAAAAATACTTAGTGTAGCTGGTCTTGTGGACGTGATTTCTTTATATGTTTAGATACTTCTATGGTGTTGAAAGGTGTTGGTAGTCCGGGGACTGTTTGGTGCTGCTTTTTGGTGGATGCTTGACTATCGGCTTTGTGAAGGTAGATAACGGTTGCCATACCTGTGCGTTGTAACGTTAGTGGATCGCGGCCAAAGGTGAAAGAAGTCACTGTACCAAAGGTTTTCATATGGGTCAGCAGCGTAAGAGACTGCTCGACATTGGTCACGCCGCGAAGATTGAATTTGACAATCACGCCCCTGAGCAACTGAGACACAGACATTGTGTAAAGAAAAGGAATAAAAGTGCAAGTTGAAAAGAATAAAGAGAGAAGAAAAAAGGGCAGTTGGCAACGGGAAGCAACTTGTGATCAATTTACAAGCAATGGAGAGAAAAAATGGGTGATAAACGAGCAAAGTTATTTTCTGTTTCAGCTGCAGAAAACAGACAGCATGTCGTCGTCTTCGATCTCGGTCTGGCTGACACATTTCTTTGGATCCAAAGACTCATCGTCAAACTCTAGCCGGATCCTAACACCTTCAGCAATTCCTGCCATTTTGCGGTAGCTGTCAATGATAGACTGCACCGTAGTAGTGTGCGCAACCATCAGCAACGTATCCTTGCCCTCATGGTCACGGATCTTAATCCTAATTCCACCCACCGACTGCTCCGCCTCCAGCTCCGACTCCTGCACCGGCGCATTCTCAGCATTACGTCTGAGCTCTCTTGCAATCTCCATATCCTTCATCATCTGTGCCTGCTCATCCGCCCGCCTCTGCAACGCCAAAGCCTCCTCCGCTCTCACACGATTATACACCGACCTCGGATACACATCGATATAATGCACCGGCTCATTACCTAAACTAGCCAACCTACTAGTAGGAAATACCCTGGACGACCCTTGCATAAGAACCGAATCCATAGCCAAAACATCCACCGGGAAATTATCCGAAAACACTCTCAACGCATGTGCTACGAAATCTGTCGAAAACACCACCACAGCTGTTCGTTCATCCAACCTCTTCCTAATCTTTGCCAAATCTGTGCGCTTAACCCGTTTCCACCTCTTATCCACCCACGTAGCCTGCACATCGTTGTGCAAAAAATTATCGTCATAAACAAGCCGAAACTCTATCTGCACTTTTTCTAGCGCCGCACCGCCCACCGCATCATTACCAGAGATTGCTGCTAAAAGCGAAGGATCCAGATCAACAGTACTATCACTCACTGCCATAACACTAACATCATCAACATCCACCACCGCTGTTTCCTCCACCGGTCTTCTTACAGCACTCCGCCCAATTTTTCGACTCTTCTCCAATGGCCTCGCACTAGGCGGAGGTGTCAATGACACGCTACGCGCACGCTTCGCCACCCGCACCTCAGTCACATCGTCCTCATCCGATTCCAGCGCCTGTTCAGCCGCCGAACTCTCACTACTATACCCGCTTTTGTCCTCCTCCACTTGTTTTTCAGGCTGTGCCGACTCCTTTGGCTCTTCTTGCTCAGACTCTGAATCACTGCTATATGCCTTGTTCGTCTGCTGCCCGCCCAGCATAAAAAACGACGCGTCGTCAGATTCCTCGCTGCCATCCTCCACCTCCAACGCTGCTCGTCGCCGCGCAGGCTGTGGCCGCCGCACAACACGCGGTGTTATTTTCTGCACAACTACTTCCTCCACTTCAGAGTCTGAACCAACTACTGACATAAGTTTAAAAAACAACTAGAAAACTTAAAAAAAATGCAGAAGGCAGACGAGGTATGCCAAAAAAACGAATAACAGCAAATTAGCAAAAGAAAATATACGCTAACTCAAAAATAAAAAGGCAAACCAAACTTGAACCCTCCCATTAAACGCGCTTCTTTTTCAGCAGAAAAAGAACAAATGCAACACATAATAATCAAAATCATGTGACAAAAAATCATGTAGAGCAAATGCAAAAAAAGGGCTCAGCCGGGGATTGAACCCGGGACCTCCTGCACCCAAAGCAGGAATCATACCACTAGACCACTAAGCCCTAAGGCAATTCAATTGACTTACTACAGCCAATCAACGCGTTTTTTAGAAAGTTAATACGCACATATATGTCGATGCTGTTTTAATAGTAAAAATAGGTTAATGCATGTTTATTGTGTTTAGTTTTGTATTGTTTATTTTTCTTATATTTTCTTTAAATTTTTCAGCACACTTATTGGCAAAACTATAAAATAATTCTCTAAATACACCCTTTATTAATAATGTAACATTTTTCTGTCTGTCTGTAACAAGTTAGCTAGATTCACTAATCGAACTGGTAATTGGCCAATAAAATAATAGAATAAAGCGAAAAATGATGAAACAAAAAAAAGTAGTAGTAGTGTCTTCCCAGCTTAAAATGCTCTGATGTGCCAATTTGACTGGCAAAAAGAAAAATTACAGTCTTTGCAGCCTCACTTGGTGAAAATTAGCAAAATAAACTGCAGCTAAACTGTGTAACTAACAAATTGACTGGGTATCATATCATTTCAAATAATTCAATAATGTATCTGTATATTTTATTTTCATAGCTTTTGTATATGTTTTTTTGGATCAATGGTGATATGTTATGTGATTTGAAATAAAAAATAGAAAATACAAGAAAAAATAATGTAGGTTGTAATGAATTGTAAATATGTACTACTAAAAAACCAAGAGTAGTATGACATTTGTGTCTGAGAAGTGATGAGATGCTATTTATTATAAAGAATAAATGTTGTTGATATTATTTATAATAAACATGAATAATCCAAAATATAGCGAAATTAAAAGAAAAGAAAAAAAAAAAGAAACAAGTAAAAATAATTGATAAAGAAATAAACAAGTATTTATACTTGTGTTATAATTAACCATTGATAAATAATTGTCTGAAACTTAAATCAGTGGAACACTATTTATCAGTAATTTCATTAGTTACCTTTGTCCAGTGAACTACAATCAGGCTGGAATAAGTGGCACATATTGATTCTGTCTCTATCTGGGTTTTCATGACACTGCCAACAGGGAATATCTGAACAGTAGTGACAATAAAAGAGAGTGACATTCCATGTGTGTTTAATAGGGTAGAAAATGTCTTTGATCATTTGGCCCTTAGGTGCAGATTTCCAGTGTCTAAACTTGCTATGTCCAGAGAATTAGATGACATCTGTTATCAATATTTTAACTTGGGGTGCTATATAATTCCTTAACAATTGGGATGTGACAGAGGCACTAGCAGTGTAGCAGAATGCAGAGTAAGAGTGGAGCTAGGAACAGGAGCTGATATGGAGGAAGAGCATTAAGCAGGGCCAGAATGGTGGGAGTACAGGAAGGGGTGATGAAAGTGTGCACAAAGGAAAGAAGAAAAAAACTGAAAGAAAATGTAAAAGTAAAAAATAGGAGAAAATACTTGGCAAAAATAATTAGGAGAAAGAAAAGCCAAGGGCAAAAAAGTTGGTCCAACTAGCAAACAAAATGGCAGGCATGCAGAGCAAGAAAGCATGAGTGGGTGACCTTTCTCATGCCTCAGGGAGCTCATAAAATAGGTACACCTAAGGAAAATACACTTTAATAATGGCATTTCCAAATGGTCGAGAACTATAGTACAACAAGTCAAATTGTATAAATTTATAGCAACCTACTTACTCTTATTCTATATAACTAAATAAACTTCAGAATTGTAGCATTTTTATTAATCTGCACTTTGGCTAGAGGTTTTGCCAAACTGCATCTTATCTTGAGATATGGATAAACATTCACTTAGAACAGCTTGCTGCAGGTACAAGAATGAACCCATAAATAAACTAGAAATCAATGTTTGGAGCTTCTTTTATTGAGCGCAGTAAAGCAAGCATGTCCATTCTTGTTGTACTTATTAAATTAACAATAAACTCATAGTGTATTGTTGCAAACATGCCAAAGGTGTTAGCACTAGAGAAAAAAGACTAAATGTGAGTCTTCAAATATACAGGATATTTATTGATCAGGAAACATACCATTTGCTGTAAGAATCCTTGTGTTTTTTATAATAAAAATTTTTTATTAACTACTATTCAAAACCCATAGAGAAATTACTATGATCTTGTTTCTTGTCAACAACTGTCAGAGACCAAAAACAAAGCAGAGCATTCTCAGATACAACATTTGCAAAGGGCACATTCATGATGTACCTGGAAATGGCCAAGTAAATATTACTTGCAATTTCTGGCTGCATGAGTGCTCAGTGTTGCAAATGTTTTTTTGTGTTGCCAGCTCCTTCTTATTTTGGTGGCTGATGATGGACATCACCTGGGGAACACAATAGTATAATATATTTATATAATAATTCTCCCAGTAAAATAATGAGGGTAATTTTTCTCAACCTAGTTACTATCTAAATCAAGTCAGACAACAAGCATTCTTACCTATAAAATGAGTATATTGATTTTTTAGTTAAAAAAAATTTAACCTGGATAAAAATTAGATACAATTTTTGTATATACAAAATATAAAAGCCGAATGCGGGGGTCGAACCCGCAACCTTGAGATTAAGAGTCTCACGCTCTACCGATTGAGCTAACCCGGCATCTCTTTCCGCTGTTGTCGGGGCTCGCGACAGCAGATGGTGACAAGGGCAGAGCAGAGAATAATTG